TATAAGACTTTGTTTCTCTTTATCCTACTCTCTATTGTTCAAATAATTATTTGCTAATATGTAACTCCAACAGTAGGTTGTCAAGACAAAGAAGAATGACATCGTCTATTTTGCAACTTGTGTTCAACTCCACAGTAAAGTTTGTGGAAAGACAAATGTGACAAATTCTAGATAAAGTGAGGTGGGACAAATTGTAGTTCTCTATGATCAGATTTCTCTATCTATGCAAGTATTCAAGAGTCAGCCACGCTGCATTTACCAGTTGACTGGATGCACTGGAGTAGAAAATGCAGACAAGATTATTATTTCCAGAATTATTTTACATTTTGTGTGTCTAGAAAACTACTTTGGAAATTAGAATTATAACAGATGTATTATTCATATGACATTAGTAGTTGTGTCCATTTTTACAATTCAGTTGTTCTGGCTCTGGCCTGTCAGGGCTTTAAAGTCTGGCACAGGTTCCTCCCTGGCTGGATGAAACAATAAACAGGTGGCTTTCTGCCTTTATTGTTTCTGAGCAGATCTAAGTGCTTATACGAAGAGGCTACTCTGCTCTTGCACCCTCACGGGCCATCTGTCTCCTTGGTAGCTTGTGGTTTGATTCAGCTCCTTCCTTTTCTATCTGATAAGCACCAGCTTCTACATGTATTTCTCACAATCTCACAGCAGAATGGCCTAATTCCTATGCAAGTCATTCTGAGGCATTGATAGTGGTCTTTATGCCCAGACCTCTTGCCTAGCAGGTATTCTCATCTCCCTTAATCCTGGGTGTTCAATTCTGCCTCACTTCTCTTGAATGGCTCAGGCAGGAAGTTTCAGAAGCAGCTGTGTGGCTCTTAACTTTTGATTAGAGTCTTTGGTCACTTAGAGGCGGCCTGGGTTATTCAGACAGTGGTATGGATTTCCTGTCTCAATTCCTTGATGCCCCAGCCATTTGCTGACATTTCACCATTTCACATACATAGGAGAAGCTGAGCACTCGGTTTATCTGGGGTAGTGTGGCGAAAGAGGAAGAAACTTCCTGTCCAAAAGCACTGTAGAGCCCCTCCTCCCACTTATATTTCTCTGCAAACAGAAAGCTATCAAAAATGCCTTTTAATTGCATAGGTTGGCTCCCACATGTATCCTTGTAGCAGTGATGGCTGGCTACATATGTGGAGAGCCAAAGGCAAAATGCAATAAAAACGGGGAACAAAGCTTTCTTCCTTATGCAGTCTCTCCATCTACTATGAAAGTTTCTATTCGCTATTCGGTATGCTTCCCCATTCCCTTTACTTGGTGTGTGGCCAGCAGTTGAGTTTCTCCTCCCAATAGCCAAGAGTTGAGCCAGGCATCTCCCCTTCCCTTGGCTGGCCATCCCAACCTACAGCAGAGGGGTGGTCCTCTGGAGTAGGGATGTCCAGCCTTTTGGTTTCCCTGGGCAACTGGAAGAAGAATTGCCTTGGACCACACATAAAATACACAAACACTAACAACAGCTGATGAGCTTTAAAAAAAAAATAAATAAATACATCTCATGTTTTAAGAAAATTCACAAATTTGTATTGGGTCACATTCAAAGCTGTCCTGAGCCTCATGCAGCCTGAAGTTCACAGATTGGACAAGCTTACTCTAGAGCGTTGCAGCCTCTTGGCTGGGACGTGCTGGGAGCCTAGATGTAGGTGGGCAAAAGGCAAATGCAGTGTGGCACTGCCAGCCTGGGGTGGATGGCTGCTACTTTCCCCGTGCCAAGACTGTGGGAGTGTAACTGACCCTAAGCCTCCGAGTCTAGGGGAGGGTGTGGTGGGGTAACCCTAGGGAGCTGGAAGGTACACAGGGGTCTGTGAGAACCAGTCCCGGGGAAGTGGCGGGAGGTGGATTGGCAAGTGAACAAGGCTCCAGGCCCTGACTCCCCAACACCAATTCCCCAACACTTTATTATCCCATTGGACTTCACTATAAAACTCCAATTCAAAAATAACATTAATAGTGACTGCAGAACACTAAACCCCAAGTGCTGTGCACTACTGAGCACCCAGGCCCTGTGCAAGCTAACCAGCTTGTAGCACTTAGCCTGACTTGGAGAAAACACCACTTTAACACCAGCTTTAATGAACCCTCCATGCCAAAGATGCTGTCCTAGGCAAGAGTCACATGCTCAGCATCCCATCTAAGTCCCTTTTCCAAGCTGCCAGATACCTGCAGCAGGGGGAGCCCTGCTCTTCTTGGACTTACTTCACGGGCTTGTTTTAGGCTTGACTTCAGGAGTTATTTGCTGCTGGACAGTTCCCCTGGGCAAGTTAAGTAAGAGATTCCAGGTGGAGGCTTCTCAGAGGTGTATTAGGAGTGCCTCCTTGGCCTTGATCACCACACGGAAATGCACACACCACACAATAAAAGTAGGCACTCTGCTAAAGTTATCTTCTTAAGTGTGGGTCCCAGGTGCTGGTGCACATTTGATTGTGGTTGGTGGCTGGGTAATGTATATGTGTGTTTGTACAGAATAATTTATCACAGAAAGACACTCCTGTTTGATTTCACTTATTTCTAATTTTTAAAAAGCAATATTCATATGTGCTAAAGATACAATATATATGCACATTCTTAAATTTTGAAAGAACTGACTTTTGCCTTTGTTGATATTCTCTTTTATAGCTTAATGGTTTAAAAAATTAAGTTCTCTTTACATGACTTCCTTTGGACATAGTCTGTTTTTTTGTTTTTGTTTTTCAAATATATAACACCTTCAGGTCAATGCTCAGCTCATGAGCTTTTTGAATTAAAACAACTTTCCTCACATGAGAATTAAGATGATAAAATTTCCTAAATCATGACTTTTGGTGCATCCTACCAGTTTTGACATATCACATTTTGATTGTTATACAATTCTAAGTATTTTTAAGTTTTCACTAACATTTTTTGTCCCATCATTCAGAAAGGTGACTTTAAAATGTATAAGTTTTTAAAATATTGTAATTAATTTCTAATTTAATTGCATTGTGGTCAGGCAATGTGGACTGTATGACACCAATTCTCAGAGATTTATTGATACTTGCTTTGTAAGTTAGAAGTTGCACAAGGAACACCTGTAAACACTCCACACCTTGAGTTAATAGTTGTTAATATTCCATATGTTCTCCAGATGAATGTCTAATTTTTCTGTTCAGGGCTTGCATGTGTCTGTTAAATCATTTGTTACTTACATTTAAATCTTTTATATCATACTAATTTTTGTCTGCTTTACCTATTATTCAAACTAGTGTACTGAAATCTCAAATTTTGATGATGTTTCAGTGACAATTTCTCCTTGTGGTTTTTCAGTTTCTCCTTTGTATATTTTTTAATTTTATGATGTTCATCAATTTAAAATTGTTTTATCTTCCTCATAAATTGAACACTTGTTCATCATGCAGTCATCCTCTTTGTCCCTAACGAAATGGTTTTATTTAAAAGTATATCTTATCTGATATAAACATAGTATTCTACCTTTATTTTTTAGATATGTGCCTGGTATGTTTTTTCCATCATTTTACTTTCTGCTGCTCCATTTCCTTATATTGTGGATGTGTCTCTTGAAAGCAGTTGAACTTGGATTTTAATTTGTTTTAAAATCAAATCCATCAATCTCTTCTTGTAACTGGCAGGTCTGATCCATGTACTTTTGTGATCACTCATATGTTTAAATGGACTTGCTTCTGCTGTCTTACTTTATGTCTTCTACCTTTTTTTTTTGCTTTTTTAAGGAAACTTTTTTTTCTTGGCTTTTTATTTTTTAACAATATTTATTACATTGTTGTTTTTTATCCTATTTTCCCTCACTAGATTTTTGGTAGTTACTTTCTATTTTTCTTTTTCATTTGTGCCCTTAAAATTTGTACTGCATTTTTAAAGTATCTCAAGTTTTTCAATAGCCAAACCTGTAGCACAAATGATACAAGCTCCTAGAATCTTTTAACTCCATTTATCTTCCTGTGACTTATATTTTTATTGCCCTCCTTTTTTAGTATTACCTTTCTTTCCTTAAAGTTCAAGTCTTCATTTTTTAATAATACAGGATTATCTTTTCTCATATTTAAATCAAAAATACTTATTAATATTTATAGTCTTAGAACTGTCTTCTGTTAAAACCACCAGGTGAAATGTTTTATTTTCATAGCTTTGTTAACAAGTATAGCTTTTTTGTAATCCCCCAAGTTAGATATATTACTTAAAAATACATTTGTTTGGGCCAGATGCAGTGGCTCATGCCTGTAAACCCAGCAGTTTGGGAGATAAGGCAGGTGGAACACCTGTGGCCAGGAGCTTGAGACCAGCCTGGCCAACATGGTGAAACTCGGTCTCTCCTAAAAAATATAAAAAAAAAAAAATTACAGGTGTGGTGGTGCACGCCTGTAATCCCAGCAGATATGGGAGGCAGAGGCAGGAAAATTGCTTGAATCTGGGAGGTGGAGGTTGCAGTGAGCCAAGATCATGCCATTGTATGCCTGCCTGGGTGACAGAGTGAGAGTCTGTTTCACAAAAAAGAAAACAAAAAATTTAAGTAAATACAAATTATATTATTTACTATTGCCTCTTGCATCTCATTCCCTCCTTCTGTGGTCATTTTTTATTTTTCTTGAATACATACTTTTGAAGTTTCTTAAGTAAAGACTTTTTTTGTAGTAAACTATTGTTTTGTAAAATCTAAATTCTCATAAGATAGTTTTTCTAAGTTGACAAAATTTTCTTCCACTAGTTCATTCAATAGTTTTGTGTTTTCACTGTTATAAATGATAAATCACCTACCAGCCTAACTATAATTTATTTGTAGATGATCTGGCCTTTTTGGCCGCTTTTAAGTTTTGTCTTGGTGTCCTGTATTTACCCATACTGTGCCCAACTGCTGCTTTCTATTTATCTTGCCTGTTATATCTTTTTTCTTCATTTGTGAATTCATGTCATTCATAAGTTCTAGAAAATGATCATCTCTTTATGTCTTTGAATATTGACTCTCATTATTTCTTTTTTTTTTGAGACAGAGTTTTTCGCTCTTGTTACCCAGGCTGGAGTGCAATGGCGCGATCTCGGCTCACCACAACCTCCGCCTCCTGGTTCAGGCAATTCTCCTGCCTCAGCCTCCCGAGTAGCCAGGATTACAGGCACGTGCCACCATGCCCAGCTAATTTTTTGTATTTGTAGTAGAGACGGGGTTTCACCATGTTGACCAGGATGCTCTCGATCTCTTGACCTCGTGATCCATCGCCTCGGCCTCCCAAAGTGCTGGGATTACAGGCTTGAGCCACCGCGCCCGGCAACTCTCATTATTTCTATCTTATCTTTCCAATTAGATACAGGTTAGATCTTTCCATTTCATTTTGTCTCTAAAACTCTTGATCATCTCTGCGTTCTATTTCAGCATTTTTTATAGTTCATTATCCTTCTCTTCAGACACATTTAGTACTCTGTTTACTCTTTCACTAAGTTTTACAAGTTTTGTTTTAAATTGTGAAATTCAAAGAAAATTAGAATGAGCAGAACCATAAATACCTGTGTATCTTTCACCTGTATTCTCTAACTGTTACTTTTTTTTTTTTTTTTTTTTTTTGAGACAGAGTTTTCGCTCTTGTTACCCAGGCTGGAGTGCAATGGCGTGATCTCGGCTCACCGCAACCTCTGCCTCCTGGGTTCAGGCAATTCTCCTGTCCCAGCCTCCTGAGTAGCTGGGATTACAGGCACATGCCACCATGCCCAGCTAATTTTTTGTATTTTTAGTAGAGACGGGGTTTCACCATGTTGACCTGGATGGTCTCGATCTCTTGACCTCATGATCCACCCACCTCGGCCTCCCAAAGTGCTGGGATTACAGACTTGAGCCATGGCGCCCAGCCTAAACTGTTACTATCTTGCTACTCTATGTGTATATATGTATATAATGTACATGTATATTCACACACACGTACCCTATCCTACTTCCCTTTAGGAAAACCATCAGAAGGCAGGCTGCAGCCCACATCATATATGTTACTCTTAAGTACATCAGCATACCTATCTCAAGAACAAAGACATTCTCCTATAAAAACATGATACTATTATCACATACGAGGATATTCACATAATATCATCCAACATTGTTCATACTCACATTTTCCCGATTGTTCCCCAAATGTCATTTCTATTAGCTTTTTTCCAATCTTAGATCGAATTAAGGTTCACACAATTACATCTGACCATTTTATCTCATTAGTGTCTCCCATTCTGTCACAGCACCCCATGTCCCTCTCTTCTTCATGATATGAAACCTATAAACAGTGTAGGCAAGGTGTTCTGAAAAACATTCTAGATTCTGGACTCATCCAGTGGTTTACACATTATTAGACTTGAATCAAACATCCTATCTGAGGTCCAGCAAGATGCTCACGGAAGTAATGTTGCATACCTCCCACTGCATCCCCTTGGGAGGCACGTAACACCAGATCTCCCCATGTAAAGGCAATCTGGAAATGTAAACATTTTCCTGTTTGTAATTAGTAACTAGCATGTGAGTAGTTCTGCAAGACTTGTTTAAACAGCCTGTTCTTCAACGACCTCATGTTCCTCAACAACACATTGTTTTGGCACTCTGTCATGATCAAATATTTGTTATTAACATTGTTATTACATTGTGAACCACAAACTGGGGATTATCTAATTCTACCATTCCTTCTACATGTATTAGCTAGCATTGTTGTATAAAGAATCACCTTTTCTCTCTTCCTTTATTTTGGGGGGTATCTATATAAACTCGTGAATTTTAAAAATTCAAAGTGTTACAATTCATTATATTTATACTTTCTAACATTCAACTTACTCAAAATTAGGCCAGTGGGAATCCCATCAAGACATTTCCTTTGTTCTTTTCAAAAGACATTGTTGGTTTTTAATGATTTTCTTGCTTTTTGGCATAGCACGTTTTTCCAGCTGCAGTCTAAAATCAGGACTTTCTCTAAGAAACTCTGGTTCCTTTTCAAGGTAGTTAGAAACCACAATGTGGTCATGAGGCATGCTCACTGTCATTGGGGTGTCCCATTTGGGTGTTTTATTTCAACACTTAGATTTTCCATTTTAAAAAACAATTTGTCAGATCAATGTGGTCATTTAAAGCAACTTCAGCAAGGTCTCAGGATACAAAATCAATGTGCAAAAATCACAAGCATTCTTATATACCAATAACAGAGAGCCAAATCAAGAGTGAACTCCCATTCACAATTGCTACAAAGAGAATAAAATACCTAGGAATACAACTAACAAAGGATGTAAAGGACCTCTTCAAGGAGAACTACAAACCACTGCTCAACGAAATAAGAGAGGACACAAACAGATGGAGAAACATTCCATGCTCATGGTTAGGAAGAATCAATATCGTGAAAATGGCCATACCACCCAAAGTAATCTATAGATTCAACACTATCCCCATCAAGCTACCAATGACCTTCTTCACAGAACTGGAAAAAACCACTTTAAACTTCATATGGAATCACAAAACCCTGCACAGCCAAGACAATCCCAAGCAAAAAGAAAAAGGTGGAGGCATCACGCTGCTGGACTTCAAACTATACTACAAGGCTACAGTAATCAAAACAGCATGGTATTGGTACCAAAACAGAGACATAAACCAATAGAACAGAACAGAGACTCCAGAAGAAACAGCACACATCTACAACCATCTGATCTTCAACAAACCCGGCAAAAACAAGCAATGGGGAAAGGACTCCATGTTTAATAAATGGTGTTGGGAAAACTGGCTAGCAATGTGCAGAAAGCAGAAATTGGACCCCTACCTGTCACCTTACACTAAAATTAACTCCAGATGGATCAAAGATTTAAACATAAAACCTAACACCATAAAAACACTAGAAGAAAATACAGGCAAACCATCCAGGACATAAGCATAGGCAAGAACTTCATGACTAAAATACCAAAAGCAATGGCAACAAAAGCCAGGATAGACAAATGGGACCTAAGTAAACTCCAGAGCTTCTGTACAGCAAAAGAAATCATCATTAGAGTGAATCGGCAACTAACAGAATGGGAAAAAAATTTTTGCAATCTACCAATCTGACAAAGGGCTAATATCCAGAATCTACAAAGAACTAAAACAGATATACAAGAAAAAAACAACCCCATTCAAAAGTGGACAAAGGATATGAACAGATACTTTTCAAAAGAGGACATATATGAGGCCAACAAATATGAAAAAATGCTCATCATCACTAGTCGTTAGAGAAATGCACATCAAAAGCACACAGATATCTCACGCCAGTTAGAATGGTGATCATTAAAAAATCTGGAGACAACAGATATGGGAGAGGATGTGGAGAAATAGGAACACTCTTACATGTTGGTGGGAGTGTAAGTTAGTTCAACCATTGTGGAAGACAGTGTGGCTATTTCTCAAGAATCTAGAAATAGAAATTCCATTTGACCCAGCAATCCCACTACTGGGTATATATCCAAAGGATTATAAATCGTTCTACTATAGAGACACATGCACACGAATGTTAATTGCAGCCCTGTGTAATAGCAAACACCTGGAACCAACCCAAATGCTCATCAATGATAGACTGGACAAAGAAAATGTGGTACATATACACCATGGAATACTATGCAGCCATAAAAAACGAGTTTGTGTCCTTTGTAGGGACTTGGATGAATCTGGAAACCATTATTCTCATCAAACTGACACAAGAACAGAAAGCCAACCATCATATGTTCTCACTCATAGGTGGGTGTTGAACAACAAAAACACATGGACTCAGGGAGAGGAGCATCACACACTGGGGATGGTTGAGGGGCTAGGGGAGAGACAGCGGTGGGTGGGGAGGAATAACATAGGGAGAAATGCCAGATATAGTATGCACCTAAAGTAAGAGAAATAAAAAATAATAAAGTGAATCAATTTAATTTAAAAAGTTATCTCTTGTGCCTTTGAACTATATTTTAATATCACATAGCAATAGATTTTTGTCTGAATATGATGAAGAAGGACGAAAAGGAAGAGGAGGAAAATAGAGATAAGAAAGGTAGGGGGCATTTTCATTTATCAAGTAATACCAAGCAGACAATACCTTCGGAACAGTGGTGGGGGTTGCTTTGGATCTGTAGAGAGAAGTCTATTGCACTTTATTTTGAAGTTTATTGGTGGATATTTGTTGATTGCACCTAGAAAAGAAAAGTCTGTGATGAGTCTTTTATTCATGACTGTTAACGTTACTGCAATCTGATCAGTATACAAAGTGCCATTTTACTGTTTTAAGTAGTCATCAAGAAAAACACCAACTAAGGTAGTCACATGAAATGAAAGCAGATTTCTCGGGAATCTTTAAAACTGACTTTAGAAAACACATCCCTTCTGAATTTGTAGGTGAATTCAACTAACTTTTCAGTAAGATCCTCTTAGCTGCTAAACTGGGCCAACCATTAGAGGAGGTATCATGAGCCAGTTCTAATGATCTGGCTTTTAATTGATATGAACAAGAGTAGCTAATTATTTGCTCCTTTGAAATATCAAAAATGTAAAGGAAAAAAGACCTTTTCTTTGTGGTCTTTGAATCACTAACAACAGTAACATCAGCACTAACATCTTGGGTTCAGTTCATTAGTGGCTCATTTCATTTGGAGGCGAATTAATTTTTCATCACAATAAAGCATGCCTTTTTATATCATGTAAACATCCAAAAGCCATTTTTGATGGGAATTCTTAAAAATGTATTATGTATTTCTTTGAAGTATTAAATAAAATAGATTTGCTAAGCACAACTAGATCTTTTCCTGCTAACCCAGGGTCATCCTAAGTAGCAGATTTGTCCTGGGCTGCGATTCAACACCATCTCCAGAGCCGCTGTTGTAGGTAGGACTGTGCGTGCTAGACCAAATGGCGTAAGTGATGCTATCCTTACTGTGCACCTGATTTTTAAATTTTATCTGTGTTAAGTTTGTCAGTAGTTTTGTTTCTCTTAGAAAATATGTTGATTTTGATGTGGACTGTGCTTGATAGCCAACTCTATTATAGCAGTATATATATATATATATATACTTTTTTTTTTTGAGACGGAGTTTCACTCTTGTTACCCAGGCTGGAGTGCAATGGCGCGATCTCCGCTCACCGCAACCTCCGCCTCCTGGGTTCAGCCAATTCTCCTGCCTCAGCCTCCTGAGTAGCTGGGATTACAGGCACGCGCCACCATGCCCAGCTAATTTTTTGTATCTTTAGTAGAGACGGGGTTTCACCATGTTGACCAGGATGGTCTCGATATCTTGACCTTGTGATCCACCCGCCTCGGCCTCCCAAACTGCTGGGATTACAGGCGTGAGCCACCGCGCCCGGCCTATAGCAGTATATTTAAATAAGAGCCACAAAGCGAGGGAGCAAGACCAGAAGACCCAGAAGGGCAGTCAGTAGCCAAGACTGTTTCAGTCGCTCCTTGATATCCAGCATCAGAACAGTGGGTGGCTCAGAGCAGTTCCCTAATAAATATACGTTAATGTTGAACACATTACTGCAAGTCTGTGGGCCTGCTATGGAAGCAAGCATGTAGACTTGAACATGATTATGCAAAGTTTTTCTTGACTTGTACTTTTATAGTTACATTTTAAAGATTGGAGATTTATAGATATCTAAGTTCCAGAAGGATGGTGTATAATTTCATCAAGGTTGTAGTTTTCCCAAAGTACTTTATGTATCTCTCATGTTCCCCAAGTACTTTTTTCTTAAAACATCTTTTTACCTTTCCTCAGTTGGCGGGGGGTAGGTGATGCCATTTATCTAATAACCTAATTTGACTAATTGCTCATGGAACACTACCATGAATTTTGGAGGAATAGGGAAGGAAATTCCATTGTAAGACTTCCTCCAACTTTTTGCCTGATGAGAGCTTCTTTACAAATTTATCAGTCTTTCGAGGTTTACTTTTATTTTACCCCTACAAATGCCTTATGATATCTTTCTTCATTCAGAATGACCCCATCCCCAGTTTTCTCCCCGCTCAGCTCTTCTTTCTGGTTTCTATTCCAGAATACATCCATGTAAATTTCATTCTGGGAGCTCACTGTTCCCATCCAAGTGTTTCTCAAGCCATAATATAGATATCAGTCACCTGGGGATCTTTATAAAATGCAGATTCTGGTTCAGAATGATTGGGCTGGGTCCCCAGATTCTACATTCTAACAAGCTCCCAAGTGACACTGGTACTACTGGTCCTCGAGTCAGTTTGAATAGTAGAGGATATACTATCAGCCCAACAATAATCTCCAATGCTCCTTAGACCTCACCCTGCACTGGTAAGTCGGTGTCTCTATAAGCTTTAACTGGGCTTGCTCCGTCATATCAGAGGCACATCTGAGATACAATCAAGACCTCACTTGAGCTACACTGGGTACTCTTTTACCTGTGTGTTCATTTCTCTCTATCTGGACTCCAAGAGATCATTTACCAAGAAAACATTTGCAAATCCTACCAAGTGCTTTTCACCCTTCAGAATCATATTAGAATATAGCTTTTTATCCATCCTGCTGCATTCAAAATGGATTGCATATGGATTTCATTCCAAAATGGATTACTCTAAGAAATGCAGCCGTGTTTATTTTTTATTGGGCATCAGTTACACTAATTACTGACATCATAAAAAGTGCCATTAACAAGTCTAAGAAAGTTCTGCAAGGCTGTATTTTTTATTCTGACAGGTAAAATCTCCTAACACTTCAAACTCTGCCTCAGGAACTTGTGAAAGAAAAGCCAAGAAGTGTTTAATTTTTCTCTGGCTCTCTTTTTTGGTGACGTTACAGATGAAACTTTCCATCAAAGCAGAGTGTGCTAAGGTTACATGGCAAGGATTTCTACTTTGTAGCTAAAGTCCGGGCTGTGCCTTTGCACCCCCGGCATGCACTGCTTCAGAAGACAGCTGCTTGTTATGATTGCTTCTCCATAGGAACCAGAGGCATAAAAAAAAAAATGAGTCAGAAAACAAAATGCGTAGGAATCAGAGATTTCCTCCCTTTTACCATCCGTCATTATATATTTTCCTTTCTGACCCTGAAGTGCCCTTGAAGACAAACAAGAGGTTTCCAAGAATCCATGTTAGCTCATCAACTTTTTTTTTTTTTTAAGGAATACCAAGTATATTCTTAATGTGCAGAGAAGAATAGATTTTATGACTTACGCCTGATTGAGTTTATAAAGGACTTCACAAACTTCACACCATAACTGCGGTCTGGTTTATGAATTCGGCCAAGCTGAACCAGATGGTGATCCAAAGGGTGACTGGCGAGATCCTCCAGTTCCTTATCATCCCAAGTAGGGCCAAGGGAAAACACAAATAGGGCATACCCCTGACATTTGGCTCGCAAGGATTCCTTCTTTAAGATTTCCCCATCTAAATGGCTGGTTTCCCCAGCAGATATCACAAATATGACTTTGTTTTTTCTCAGATTGGGTGTACTTAAAAAGACATTGTCCAGAGTCCACTGTAAGGCATGACCAATGAAAGCATCTCCGTTTAGTTGTTTAACTGACTCCTTCACGTGCCTCTTCATGAGGCGCTTACTGCTGTAGGTGGTAAGATTGAACTCAGCTCTGACTGGACTCTTCTGAGTGTTGGGCAGAAAGTCACGGGGAGCATGGCTCAATAGGGCCACCCGGTCTCCAGTGATAGAAGTCTCCGGCTCTGGGGTGATTTCAAAGTAATCTAATAGTGTTCCCAGGAAGGCTCTGATGTCTTCAAATTCGGCACTTCCCATGTGCCGGGAACCATCCAGAAGGAAAGCAGCATCTATGTAAGACTGCACAGGGGGTGGTCTGGCTTGGTCACAAGCGGCATCTGGCTTGCATACATCTGTGAACCAAAAGTCGCTTTGGGTTACTAAGTAGAAATAGAAAGAAAAGGGATGATAGCATCTCAAATATTTTGACATCTGGAAACTGGATAGTCCTTGATGTTAAAATAGTGACTAAATAATATGAATAACAGGAGGATTTCTTAGGACATGGTTTGCATCTGTCTCCCAAAAGTGCAGCTTTTATACCCAGCCTGTGTCTTGGACTCCATTTGCTAATGCTATCAGACTCTTAAAGATTAGGCTGTTTTCAAAGAAGTTTAATCTTGGCTGTGTCCCAAGTTTGTATCATTTGAAGTGGACAATTTATCTCATGCATGCAAGGGTATACTGTATCACAACATAACAGTGACTGATTGCTCTAGATCTTAAATATACAGGTTAGACCAATGGCCCTTATCGTTATGCTCAGATGTTCTACTATGAAGGAGTGCTATAAAAGTAAAAGTGAAAAAAGCAATCTTTTATTTCAATTTAAGTAAGTTTATAACTCAGTGTCTATCTATGAGTGATCCTTAAGGACAAAGCTCATCTTTGCATCTCATAGTGCTCATTAGTTGAAAACTCAATACATGTTTGTTAAATGAATATTGGATATTAATGGCCTTTCCTAAATGAGATCATTTTATAAATATGCATATCTCATTTAACAAAAGAATGCATAGTAATAAAAACAGAGGGGATTTTATTGAATATGACCACAATGAATATTCAGAGGAATAAAAAAATGGAAATGGAAGGATCTTAGAGGTCATTTAATCTTGTAATTTTACAGAAGAAACTGTGGCCAGGAGAGTAAAATAATTTTGGCAAAGGACACACCAGTATTTCTAGAAGTTTCTATATATGAAGTCAGTGTTTTATTGTTAAGAGATGAGGCCAGGTGGTATAGTAGTGGGGAGGCCCATTGGCCTGAGAGCTGGGATGCTTGGGTTTTGGTCTTGTTTCAGGAACAAGCTGTGTGC